GGCGGCCCGAGCGCGCCACCTGGCGGACGCCCCGAGCGCTGTCCCCAGGTCTACCTCCTTATGCCTCGTTTCCTACTGCAGCGCCGGGGAAAATTAGCTAAAAATTAGATTCTGGATCATTACAAAATGGCTGTCAGGCAGATTCATGATGAATAATCTACCTCTGGTTGAAATAGTGCAAGTGACTTTTAGCTGCTTCAGATCTCATTTTAGTGGGCAGTAGCCAATATGTTTTCAACAGGGACTTTTGAACGGCCAATTCTGCATTTTACATGCATTGGTTCAAACAGAAAACTTTACATGCTTGGTAGTACATCAGAGGGTTCAGATTTTTTAGTCAGTTTTGGAGGAGCTGTGTTTTGCATGAATTTTTTTTTTAAAGGCAACATCTTGCTACCCGGAGGGTGATCAGCATCACTCAGGGGCTCCTTAGAAAAGTGGAATCCCGATGCCCATTCCAGACACGCTGCACCAGAATCTGCGGAGATTTGTGGGCACATGACAGTGTGAGACATGCAGGTGCAAAGGACTCTTAGGAGAGCCAGATGCCAGACCCATGTTCTCACCCCCTGCCGCCACCTCCTTACACCTCTCCCCTCAGCCCAGTGGCCCCTGCTGACACAAGATCATGGCGCCTGCCCTGTCTGTCCCTGGGTCAGCTGAGAAAGAATTGAAATTATATGCAGCAAGTTGCTTTGAACACGGTGCAAACCTGTGCAAATGTAAGGGGAAATTACGATTCAGAATTTTTACATTTCGTGCTCAGCCGTCATCAGATAATCTGCTTTACATTAGCTCCCTCAGCTGCAGGGTGAGGATTTGCCTGTATCCATTCGTCATGCTTCAGATAGTGTTTGAGCAGAAGGTGTCAAAAGTCTCTCTCAGGCTAGTCTTCCTACAGCTCAAAATAATAAAATTATATTCTGTTTTTCTTAATAAAACCTTTCAAACAACTCACCTTCCTAGGGTCTCAGAAGCTTTCCCTTGTTGAGCCCAGCATGGGGCACAGTAGGTGCCTAATGATGCTTGTGGATTATACCACCAATGAGCCCTCAGCAAGATCCAAACACTGGCCTGAAGTCTTTCACACTGATCCATTTATGATAATCAGATTATTTATATTATTAGAGACAACATAGCTACAGGAAGACTTGGTCATCTCCCTAATAAATACCAACTATTCATTAAGAAACAGACTCTTAATGGCCTAGAAATCCTTCCGTAGTGCATGCAGATTGAAATAGGTAAGATCATTAACTGTTTACATACATCACTCCCTTTACCTTGAAATGAGGGAGAGGGTGGGACAAAGAAAAAAACAACAAGGTATTGCTCTCTTCTTGCATACACTTTAAAACAAAAATCAACAGCCAAGAAGCTGTTGGACAGTATGAATGAAATTGTAGGAAAACATATTTGAAGGCCTATGATTCATAAGAGATATTAACATCTGTGTTGCCCGGGCCCCTGTGGCCCCTGTTCCTGAAGAAATGGTACTAATGGTCAAATAGTGAAAGTGAAATAGAAAAAATCATCACATCGTTCTCCACCAAACTGAGGCACAGAAATATTCCATTCTAATTAGGTTAGACTTTGGCACTATCTACATTTTTTGAAATTATGAACCTTTTGCCCCTAATTTACTAAATAGAATAAAAATACGCTTTTTTATTGAATTTATTGCAATTAGTAATGTTCTCTCTGATCCGTTAAAAGAGTTCAGAATGTTAGTGCTTTAAAATGACCTCCCATAAGGTTACAATGTGGGAGGGGAGCATATACTCCTGCTTGCACTGCAGACGGCCCGCCGAGCAGACCCTCGGAAGCAGGGCTTGGAGGTGCTCCGCTCACCTGTGACCCCCTGCCGGTGTCCGTGTGCTGCGTTGGTGTTTTATAAGAATGGGTTTAATAAAAGAGTGCAAGAACTACCACTTTACCTTTTTATTTTTTTTTCAACTTTTTACCTTGAAAATTTTCAAATCGAGAAACACCAAAATTTTTTGAAAAGTACACTGACACACATCTAGAGTCACTAACAGCATGTTTGCCACATTTGTGTTCTTTTGTCTCTCAAATTCCCTCTCTCTACCCGTGCCCCTTCCCCCCACCCCAAAATAAAACAAAATAACAATAAAGACATGCTCTTAAATAGCCTCAGTAAACAATTGAATTGAGGAAAATTTAACATTGATAGAATGCTCTCAACTAGTACATAGTCTTGATTCAATTTTTGCCAGTTGTCCCAGTGCCGCCCTTTATAGCATTTCCCCCCTGATCCCAGATCTAATCCAGGTTCACATGTTGCATTTAACTGTGGTCCCTATGGTGTCCTTTAAACTGGAGCAGTGCCTCAGTTTTTCTTTGTCTCTCATGACATTAACATTTTTGAAGAGTGCAGGCCAGTGCTTCCTCAGTGCAAATGTGCATTTGGGGCAAAAATACCAAGAGACCATTTTTCACGGAGCATTCCATTAATAGGCACATGATGTTGTTTTGTTCCATTATTGGCGATGGTAACTCTGATCACTTGGTTAAGGTGTTGTCTCCAAAGTCTCCCTTTGTAATCAATAAATAATTTCTAGTGTGTGTGTGTGTGTGGGGGGGTGTACTCTGATACTATTAATTGTTTCTCAATAAATTTAAGCATCCATTCATGACCTTTGCCTGATCCATTATTACTGCTTTGGTCAAAAATTGAGACTTTCTAACTCTTTTATTTCTTTGCATTTATTAGGTGGAATTCCACTATAAAGACTACTTTTTTCTTCCACCCTTTTTATGTATTTATCTATGTACCTATTTGTTTGTGAGCATCAGTAGCAACTTGCAGCTTGTTTTGATTCAGGTGCTTATGGCTCATACCTCTCATTTTCTTTTGATGCTCATATTGTCACCCTTTGCCCAGTGGGTGTCCCTTTAGTCTCACTTCTGAGTTTGTTTGACGTGGCCCCCATCAGTTTGTGAGCATTATTTATTCTTTAGCCCTTAGCATATTTATATAGAAGTTTCTCATTCAAGTCACTGCCCAAATGGCAAATTTTATTTCTGCAATAAATCTTTTATTGAGCTGTTGCACTGCCCCAGTTATTGATCTCACTCAAGTTCAATGGGAAACCAGACACTAAATCAGTGCTTACAATACAGTCAGTCGTGGTAGAGGGCACCGTGGAGCACCATGACAAAGCTCACCCCGCTGGACCAGCTAAGGAAGGCTCCTGAGAAAATTCTGTCACCTCCTGGACCTGAAGGATGAATGAAAATAAAAGTGGGGAGAAAGCACAGTGTCCCAGGCGAGGGGAGCACACCTATCCTTGAGGAACCCCCATCCCTGGAACGCCTGCCAGAAATACAACACCAGGGCCCCATCCCAAGTCAATAGATCAGGATCTCTGGGGGGAGTCTAAGGCCTGTATATTTTATTTTCCGCACATAGCTTTAGAAAATTTATCATGAGAAATGGTGTCATGTATCATGGAGCTAAACCCTTCAAGACTAAAATTTAAAAAGATCTGTTTTATTTTATAGGATTTTGAACTCAACAATGAACTAAAGATGAACGTCCTAAACTTGCTAGAAGAGGTCCTGAGAGACCCAGACCTCCTCCCCCAAGAAAGGAAAGCCACAGCCAACATCCTGAGGTAAAAGCACTTGCAGCGGCCTGTGAATTCCATCAGTTCGTTTGTGATGTGTTCACAGGAAATAAGACCCTGTCAGGCCAGAGGGATGTGGCCTTGGCTGCTGGGGGCAGCAGGGATTCTGTTCTCTCGGGTGGAGGGTTACCCATCTTCTCTCTCCTGCTGTCTTGGGAAGGCTTCGGACTGGGGGACATAAGTCGTGTGGGCGTGCGATCGTTGCTGTTTGTGTGGGCAGACAGTGGTTCCCGTAGAACCAGAAGTGAAGGGAGGAAGCCTGAAGGACTCTCCTGCGAGCCCGGCGGGCACTGGCAGGGGCTTCTTTCCTCGCTCGTGTTCACGAGCCGGCGGCGTTTCCGAGGGAGCCCCGTGCAGCTGGCTGTGGATGCACCACCTGGAGCAGTCATGCGTTTTCTTGGCTCGTCTCACTGGTCCTAGGCCAGGTTTACTGTCAGCATCTCAGGCTGGGGCTTCCACATCATGTAGGTTGTGTAAACCTGGACCCCACACTTCCATGTGATAAAGGCTTGAGCTTTGGTCTGTCCCCCCAGCGTCTGAGAAGGTAACGAGCTTTCTTGTAGCTTCTTGAACTAATGGGTGGATTTTTCCTAGTGCCCTCCACATGGAGGGGGCAGCCATCAGGGGCTTTGTGCAGACATTTCAGCTCTCTGCCTCACTCATGGCTGTCCGGTCTGTCTCTGCCCAGCATCTGTCTGCTCCAGCCTGGTTCTCCGTCACTGTTCTGACTTCTAATTCCCTCTTCACTTGCAACCTTTGAGAAGAGTTCTCTTTTTCTTCCTTTGTTTCTTTGTTACCCAGGATAACAAAGAGTGTGTGGAGGGGAGCCCATTTTTGCTCAGTCCTCCAGGTTGTTAAAAGTCCCTCCCTGATGCAGCAAGGGCAGATTTGGGTCTGTAATGTTTTAACAACTGGCCCGTAAGGCATTCTTAGCCCTGTTAGCTCAAGACCTAATAGCCAGCCCCGTCTTTGGTCTAGGAGTTGTCATGGGTTGAATTGGGCCCCCTCTCCCTCAAAATATATTGAAGTCCTACTCCCCATAACTCAAAATGTGACTTTATTTGGAAATAAGGCCCTTGCAGATGTAATGAGTTAAGATGAGGTCATACTGGAGTCTGGTGGGCCCCTGATCCAATGTGACTTATAAGAAGACGGCCACCTGAAGACGGAGACGCAGAGAGAAGGCCACGTGAAGATGAGCGGAGATGGGAGTTATGTGGCTGCAAACCCAGGAATGCCCAGGGGCTCACATAAGCCCGGAGGGAGGGGAAGCCCTGCTTGGGAGAGCATAGGAGGCGATGGCCTGGCAGGTCCCAGAGGGGAAGCAGCGGGAGATTAACCATTCACCTCGTGAGGGGTGCGGGGTCCGCCCCAGGCCGCGTGGAGGACACGGCTCCCGGCCGCAGCAGCGAGCCGGCGGCCCAGAGAGCGGCCGCCCCAGCCTGGTGGCTCTTGGCGCTGCTTTTAAGCCCACTGAGTTCTACGATTGAAGGGAAAATTTTCAGTCATGGAACTTGGATGATCCCATCTCCTTTAAGTTTTCTTTCCTGGCGTTTCATTATAAATGCACAGATGTTAGACGGGTCAGACTGACCGGTAGGTGTGAGGAGCCTGGAGAGCTTGTGGAAGCTTTGAGGCGGTCGGAGACCAGAAGCAAATTCACCCCCCCTGGGCACTGGGCCAGAGCTCCAGGGGCCTTCACATCCAAAGAGAGACATTCGTGAATATGCGTCCCAGTGAATGTGAGTTATAATTGTGAGAAATGAAAACATTGCATAGAGAAGTGCAGTCCTGACGTTTGAGGTTCCTACGCACCCAGGTCATATAACAGTGATAGGTCAGCGTGAAACAGGTATATAAACGTATTTTACACGAATAAAGCAAAGCAAGAGCTTTCCGTGATGAGCCTCGCAGCCTCACGGGTTACTTCAAGCTTCATTGGCACAGGTAGCTTGTTGCCCTGTTTGTAAATAAAAACCTCTGCTCAAGAATCTTATATTTCTAAAATACCACCCCCTCCAGCGTTGTCTAATTGGATGGCTTCTGAGCCTCTGCAGTGTAGAGTTTTTTGTAAACAACTAACATGCCCCAACATGAAAAGAAACAATGACTGACTTCTTGGAATGTCAAGTGGAATGAGTTCAAGTCATGCAAACCTCACAAAGCTCTCAGCAGCATCAGTAGGATCTAGGAAGAGAGAAAATGTTACATAATTTAATGGGACCAGAATGCATCGTGGAACATCAGGGTAAGATCATTGAGGGGAGGAACGTTTGATAGAAGCAAACTAAGTTCTTGGCCATTTCTTTCCAAGGGCAGAATGTAGCCCATCCTCATAAAAAAGGTCTTTTCCACGGGTTCATGCAGTTATGTGGCCACTGACCTCTCCAGAAACTGAGCCTGCAGTGGAAAGAATGGCATATACTCTAGCAGACAGTCACTTTTATTCCCTACGTGTAGCCCTTCCGTGTGACCCAGTAGTCTTTGGAGAAGGAGCTGTGTGCACTCATTTTCTCCCTCACCTGTGTCTGTCCTTAACCCTATGAGGACTGTTTCTTTCTGCTCACAAATGACATGGCTAATCGCTGACAAGGGGACTGCCCTGCCTATGGTCTAGAAGGATTCTGCTCCCCGGTAAACAGCCCAGAGCCTTTGTAACGAAGGAGGAAGACAGAGGAAAGGGAATTGAGTGTGTTCTATGCTGGGCCCTTGAAGAGGCGCCTCCCATAAGCCTGCTTAAGACAAACCAGAGTAACAGGAGAGCACAATTGGAACAAACCTGGCCCAGTTAGTCAGTTTCTTTGTGCTTTTGTTTCCTCATCAGTAACATGCTACTTTGAAGGGACTTCTTATAATACATGAGATAGTGTATGTCAGATGCTTAGCACACACCTGGCATGGCGTGGGCGTGCAATAACCCATCTCTGTTGATTTTTTATTTTGGAGAATGGTAGTTTTGTTTTAATCAATTCAAAACACAACAGAACGTAACATCATTTCTTTTGAAACCAGCTTCCTCCCATAGATAGGCTACATGCTTTGGGACTGTTTAAATATTGTAATACTTTTGTTATACGATTGTGCCTTCATTTCAGAAGACTTAAAATCCTTGGCTCAGATGGCAAGTTATATAATCAGTATAATTCTGGACACTGGACTTGGGAGAGACAGGATGTATTACTCCTACTGTGAAACTGGCACCCACTTCAGTGATAATTAACTTCTGTATTTATTCATTCATTCATCACTTATCAGAAAAGAATTCTATTGAGAGGTGAATGACACTGCGTGTGGGGATGCGGCACCTACTCTCAGGAAAGTCTATCTGGGAGGCAGGGGGAGAGTTTACCTGCTGGCTCTGCCTCTCATTGTTCAGAGTTTTGTCGCAGAGGAAGTCCCCTGAGCTTCTGGCCTACACATGAGCAGGGAGGAAGCAGCTCTGCGTCTTCAGCCTCAGCAGGGAAGGGCCAGGGCTGGGGAACAGAGGGGCGTGGAGGGGCACTCGGCCTGTTAGAAGCCCTGATGGATGGATCGGATGGATTGGGTACAGCAGGAGGCCCGAGTCGCGTTCAGCTCACCCCCAGCTTCCCTGCCACGCTGGGTGTTTTACTTACGACCTCCTAGTAACAAGTGGGCTCTCTGGATGCTCCTGTGCCTTTCTCGCTTGTGTTTTTCTGTCTCCTTCACCGCCTGCCTCCCGCTCAGGCCCAGCCCACAGACCCAAGCCCTGGGCTCTTCCCTGGGGCGCTGATGGGCTTTGCTGTTTCGTTCCTGCCCTGTCTGCTTTCTTTTCATGGGGTATATTTTGGGTTTTTTTAGAGCTCTTTCGCAAGATGACCAAGACGACACTCACCTGAAGTTAGAGGATGTAACTCACGCGGTAAGCTCGCCCGCCCGGCTCACCCAGCCCAGTCACCCACCCGCCTCAGAGGCTGCGGGAGGTGGGCCGGCTGCGCGTGGGCTTAGCTCGCCTGTGATGTGCATGTGGCCAGCAGTTCTAAGCTCTCCTTCATCTTCCTCATGGCTAGTCTTGGATGGGCTTTGTGCTTCAGCACCTGCAAGGGCGCATAGGAGCCTCACTCCCGCGGGTGCCTCACCCCCTTCCCCCTTCCCCCATCTCTTGCAGACGGACTGTCTGAAGGCCGAGTGCTTCGAGACCTTGTCAGCCATGGAGCTGGCTGAGCAGATCACGCTCCTGGACCACATCGTTTTCAGAAGCATTCCCTACGAGTGAGTGCTGCCCCGCAGCCCAGGCCGTCAGGCGGGCACAGCCGGCTTAGGGCTGGCATCATTCCTGAGCCACATATGTGTGCCCAGGTGTGGGTCTTAATCTTAAAATGGTTTGGTCTCACTGAATGTCTTTTGGTTCCAGTTTATGTTGGAAATGTTGATCTGGAAGTAGTGAGGACTCTTAAGACGGTCACACTTGAGTTTCTGTATGTATGACGATTACCATAGAATACATTTCTCTTTACTCACACTCTTGCATTACAGCAGCCTCGACACAGCTGTGACTGTGGTTCTTGAATCTCAGTGTGCCTAAAATCACTTGGGAAAGCTGTTAAAAATGTACATTCCTAGGTATCTCTCTCAGAGATTCTGCTTCCAGTAAGTGTGAGGCCCAGGAAACTGTATATTCAGTGAGAGTCCCAGCTAAGTATGGGTGGCCCAAGACTTTGAGGAAGACTGGTCTTTGGTAAATGGCTGTAAATTCTGCTACCCACTTGCATAAATCAGCAAGTATTGCTGAGCATTGAGACCATGGGCTCATCACGCAGCCTTTTGATTTCCTCCTGTGTAGAGTAAGGGGGGCTCCCTAAGCCCCCTCCCGGCTATCATATTTGGTAGCCCACAAACAAGGCCTTTTTTGGGACCAACGGCAACTGTTGGCACATGTCCTCTCTGAACAAAAAACTAAATTGAAGATAAGGGAGGCACTGGGCAAGAGATATGAACGTGTCATAGATAGTGAAGAGGACATTTGTGAGGATGGAGGGTCAGGCAGGACAGACGGTCAAGGGATGGTTAGAGGGTAGAGCTACAGCTCTGTTGGAGATGCCTAAGGGGCAGGGACAGAGGGTGCCCCTGCGACTTTTATGTAGTTTATCTTCTTCCCCTGCCCCTCTCCCAGCACTCATAGACCAAGCTAGGAACATGAAAAAAATAAAACAGAAACGTGGCCCGTTGGCCACAGCGAGGAGCCCAGTGGCTGTGTGGGGACTTGCGTGAGAACCACAGTGCCCCTTGCCCCCGCCTCCTGCTGCCCTCCAGCGCAGTGAGGCCTCTGTGGAGGGCAAGAGAGCAAAGCNTGGGGACTTGCGTGAGAACCACAGTGCCCCTTGCCCCCGCCTCCTGCTGCCCTCCAGCGCAGTGAGGCCTCTGCGGAGGGCAAGAGAGCAAAGCCCAAGCCAAGCCCTGGTGGTGGCCCTTGGCGTGGTGTCTTCCCGGCACCTTCCCCACCTCTCATCCTGCCCCTCCTTGCTGCTGTGAGCATCTACCTATTACTTCCACCCGTGGAACCAGTACACCTTTTGCCCAGCAGCCTTGAAGGATGGGAGCAGTGCCACCAGCAGCAGGGGACGGAGCACCTTGCCCACTCAGTCAGCATTTCTGGATTGAGGATATGCCAGGGTGATTTTATTTCAAGTTATGTTTCGTACCGACTGTATAAAATAATTCCGGTACGCTCCACCTTGATGGCCCCCTGCTTGCTGTGGTCTGGGGGCCTGCTCGCGGGTGCGGTAAAGAGCAGCAGTGCTGTTTGGGAGACGGACCTTCCAGCAGGCTGAGCTCCCGTCGCTGGGAGGGCCTTCGTCGCGCGAGTGGGCTGCGAGGTGTTTGTTTATCGAGCCCTCCCCACAGTGTACTGTTCTGGGCTCCAGAGAGAACAGGGGAGCGTCCTGCCCAGGGAATCACATTTGCCTGGAGACTGTCAGAGCAAAGTCGAAGGGAACATGCTGTTCTTGATTAACATTTTTGTGATGATTGATTTTTTGGACCTTCTGCTAAGGCGTACATTTTTTTAACAAGCTGATCCGGGGAAAATAGTCTTGGTTTCTGAGTTAGTACTTAACCTCTTTATCCCTCTCATGTTGGTCATTGTTTTCCAACTTCAGAGAAGCGTTTCTAATGATCCTAACAGGGACAAAGTTCCAAACATTTATAAGAGAAAGCTGGAAACTAAAAATCTTTTTCCTTTTTGCATGGAGTGGTGAAATGCTAGAGTTGAGCTAAAATTCATTTGCAGTGGTCAGTGGCAGCAGGTGTTGGGCAAGGTTAAGTTTAATGTATATAATACTAATAATTATTCATGCAAATAATTGACTATTTTTTTAAAGTTTAATTGTTTTTATATTTTGCTTTGAACTTTCAGAGAGTTTCTTGGGCAGGGTTGGATGAAGCTGGATAAAAATGAAAAGACACCTTACATCATGAAAACCAGCCAGCACTTCAATGATGTGAGTAACCTTGGAAATAAACCCTTGAGTATGTTACGGGAAGATAAATATCGGAGTCTTAAGATTCTTTTTCTAAAATAAAGCTACCCACCTTTAAAAAAGAATGACATAAGTTAAAGACAAGCTTTAATATCCTCTAAGAGCTCACAGTGATGTTGTAGTTTTCAGTTAACTTCCAGATACAAGAGATTCACTTCTGATGGTGCCCAAGCCTGGCAAGTGTTCAATAACGCATAGGCTGGTGTTATTATTTTCATCATAATCATTATCACTTCATGGTCACAGATCGACCAGTTCTAACAGAAGGAACAGCACAGGTGTCACTGGTCCCTGGTGGTGCTGGTGACATAAGGTTGGGCCGGTGCACCTCCTCCTCATCGTGACTGAACACATTCCAGGGTTAGAAGGGACCTCTCTGAGCATAATTGCAGGACTGTGGTGGCTGTGCACAGCGGTGACCAGTGGTTGGTCCATCTCCTGAGTTGATTTTCTCCAGCAGTAAGATGGATTTGCTTTATACCCACCGACTCATAATTTGTTCTGTTTTAATGGTCTTGGTCCCGAATTAGAACCACAGGTGTCAGAGTGTCTTCAGGCCTTTCCAGGGAAAAGGGCAGGCTCTCTTTGCAGTTATACTAAACTATAATAAAAGGAAAATGACTACCAGGAACCCCATAGGTAAATTAGCAGGTCATTTAGAGCAGTGCCACTGCTGCCTAAAGGACGGGACACATGGCCCGCCCAGAGCCCCTGCTGTGGAAAACAAACTTCCCTGCCTGTGTCATATACACACTGGACTATAATGGACACTGATCGGGTTCGATCCCAAGCTCCACACCCAGGTCTCCACTTCGATGGCCACTGCATTGTGCTCTCAACAGTTTGCAGATGAGCTCACCATCAGCACCCCGACCTGCAAGCCTGCTTCTGCATCTATTCTCTGTTCTCGGTCTCAGGCCATGGCCTCACCGTGTACCCACTGGATAGAATGTTAGACCCCAACTCCCTCTTTAGCAGTCCATCCTATTCCACTCTTTTCCTTTCCACATTCTAAGTGTTGAGCTTCTTAAGCCACTTCTTTTTCTCTTGGCTTTTACTGATAGAATTACAGTGCTTAGCCTTGAAACTACAGGCCCTTTTAACTGCCGGTGGGAAAAACTTCAACAAGACAGGAAGGAGAAAACATTCTCTCCTCCCCTTCACTGAAGTGTTTCTGATTTGAGAGTTGATCAGGTTAGAAACCATTTGATTGGGGCAATGTGTTTTCTTTCTCTGTGATAACTGAGGCTTCCTAGAGTGAATGTTTCACACCAACAAGAGGCAAGGAGCATGTGGAGAGGCCCCAAGAAGTGAGACCCATGGTCTGCAAAGGTTGCCATTCCTTGGGCTTAGCTCATTCTATCCACTTCTGCAGTAATTGTTGGAAATGACTCCTTCATCAAGATTCCCCGTGAGCAAAGTCACCTCTTCCCCCGACAGGCTGGTTCTGTACGGTGCCTATGTTCCCTGTGAGGAGGAACAGCCACTCATCAGTTTGTTATTGTCGCAGACTTTAGTTGCTCCAGAAAGGTGTTGTCTGAACACGGACTGTGCTCTCCATGCTCCTCGGCACCCCGCTTTCCTGACTTTCCTGCAGGTAACTCGGGCCTGTGGCCCGCATGCGTTGCTTTGTCTCTTAGCCTGCTCTCTCGGCTTTCCCGTTGTCTCAGATGAGTAACCTGGTGGCCTCCCAGATCATGAATTACGCAGACGTCAGCTCTCGCGCCAACGCCATTGAGAAGTGGGTGGCAGTGGCTGACATTTGCCGCTGCCTGCACAACTACAACGGCGTGCTGGAGATCACCTCGGCCTTAAACAGGAGCGCCATCTACCGGCTGAAGAAAACCTGGGCCAAGGTGTCCAAGCAGGTGAGCCGCAGCTGCGACACACCCTGCTGCTGGGAGAGCCGGGCCAAGATAAACATTACTAATTAGGAAATAATGAACGGAAACGTTGCCAAAGAAAGGTGCTGACGTGGGTAATTGCTGTGTTCATACCACTTGATTGATTCCACTCATGTGCGTTTCTAAACGGTTCATTTAGAAAAGAAAATACAACCCCCAACGTTCATTGGAACACATTTGGGGACAACCTCAAACAATGTGGTTGACAGTCAAGAGTTGTTTCCTGAGTTATTTAGAGAAGGCACATTGATCTCAAGTGATGGCCAGTGAGCCTTCTTTCTCCCCCAGAGGAAGGGTGCAGATGCCTTAGGGCAAACACCAGGACGAGGGGCCTCCACATGAACCTCTTTCTTTGTTTTTCACGTGTAAATTTAAAGTTTCCGCATGGTAACTTAGATGTGCAGAAATAGAGCTTTCTTAATTTTCTTTTCATTGGACTTAGCTTGCTCGTGCCTAGCACTTTCATTCAGATGACCTGAATCTCAGTTTCCCCCTGCTTTTCCTCCTGGGCTTCTCCACGGCTGCCGGCGGGTGTTGGGGAGGCTCCTCCTGGCTTGTGGTATAGGGTAGCCTGAGGCCCCTCCCAGCAAGCTGCCTGGAAGTGGGTGTTGTTCAGGGCGGGCCACCATCCCCAAGGGCCACCCTCCCATTCTCCCATGGGCCATGGAACAACAATTCCATTTCTTGGTAAGTATCAGTTGTATTCTTCTAACAAGTTTATGAAAATGATCACACACACAAAAATAAAAAAATTTGGAGTAGAGGATATTGGCAGGTCAATAGCCAATCAGCCAAATATATACTTTGATGATCTGGAAATTAGCACTCAAAGAGATTCATCGTGAACCCCCTGAGTGAGACTTCACCTTTAAAAGTCCCTGTTCAACATCTGCTTTTCAGTCCTTAAGTTCCCGAGCTCCTCACACATTGCCATTTTTCTTTCCCACACATTTCCTCTCTTTTTGGCTGAGTGGTATAGTCACTTTCTCATCTCCACATGTTCTTCTTTTTTTCACATAAAATTTAAACCTAATACCTCATCTTGATACTTTGAAAATCATATCCCATCACAGTAGTCTGCCACTGTGGAAAAGAACTGAGCGCCTTTTGGAAACTCACTCTCTTATCAAACCGTAGGAGTATTTTCGTGACATTCTAAGTCATTTGTTTCTTTTTAGACAAAAGCTCTCATGGACAAACTACAGAAGACTGTTTCATCTGAAGGAAGATTTAAAAATCTCAGAGAAACCCTTAAAAAGTATGTCTATCTTTATTAAATTATCCATAATTTATAAATGCATTTAAATAATTGGTGTAGTATATAGATAGTGGCCTACCTCCTACTTTGCTTTACAAAGAAAAACAAATAGGAAACAACTTCCATCATCTATGTATTTTTCTGATTTCCCTTTTCTTTTGGAATACTGTGCACACAGTAGGTGTCATATAGATATACTCACAGTATGCAGAGTATTCCAAAGAAGAAAAATATCACCATAGTAAGTCACACCATGATTTACTATAAAAAGTTCAGGTATTTCTTAAGCTAAGCATAATGATATGCTGTGATTTGTTAAATTTAAATATTCCAGTACCTAGTGATTATTGTTATCTATTTTTGGCCTTTTATTGGTGGACCATTCGCTGCTGCTGAGAAAGAGAGAGGTGAAGAGGAAGGGAAGGGGAAGG